CCGCCTCCGGCCGCCTTCTGCAAGGAAATCAAAGGTCAGAAGGTTTCACTTTCGCAAAACCGTGTCATCATATCTCACAAGAAAGTCGCCATGTGCATTGTACTTTCACCAGTTAACAGATGATTAGAGAAATTACCTCCCGAAGAAGATCTCCAATAAGAAAGTGCACTAAACCTAATTGTATTCCGATCATGACATCACAATTCTTTCACTCGACCCCATTTACCTGAGTTTTGTATCTGATGAAGTAGACTTCCGGTTTGCTGGGTTGGGTGGGGGCGGGCGTCGGGATGTTGATTTCTGGTGCTTCTTCCGGTTTCTTGACCAAAACGTAGACCAAAGTCTTTTCTTCGTTCTGGGGTTGCACTGGGATGACGGGAGCGGTGGGCGCTGGGGCACTTGGGGCCTTAATGAAGATGATTTTGTAGTGTTTCTGGGCTTGCCCGACTTGGATGGGTCTCTGAGGACGGAACTCTTCGGGTTCTGGGGGTGGCACATGGACGTAGATGTGCTTCTGGACGGTGGTACCGCCGCCGAAGCCGCCTCCGAATCCGCCGCCGAATCCACCACCGCCGCCAATTCCTACAACTGCTAATTAAACCCAAATTTTCTCAAAGTCAGCAAACGTACCGCCTCCGAAACCGCCTCCGGCCCCGCCGCCGAAACCGCCTCCGAATCCGCCGCCGAAGCCGCCACCTAAACAAACAATCAGATCGGGACATAACTCCCCAGATTGGAATTACCGCCGCCGCCGCCGTGGCCGCCTCCGAAGCCGCCGCCAATTCCAGTCGCTCCAAAGCCGCCGCCACCGCCGCCGCCTCCAGATGGAGCTCCGTACGAGCTAGATGGAGGGCTGTAGCTGTAGCCGGCTTCAGGCCTGGCGTTGCCCAAAGCAACCAGAGTTGTCAACAACTGAAACAAACTAACTTTCAAAACTCTGACCCAGACCTAGACCTTTACCAAATTTTGTTTTTAAACCGAAAAAAAAAACGTTTAAATGCTTTCACTGCTTCAACTTACTTTGCGAAAAACCGAAAAGAACGCCATTTTATCTAATCTAATTTAAATTAAAGTAATTCAATTAATGACAAACTAAAGCAACGTTCACACGCTTCTTTGCGTGATGTCATTACATGCACATTTCTGTTCGCAATTAGACAATTAAGGTGCTTAGAAATCGTGCGAAAATAAAACGACAAGATACCAATCACAATATGACAGAAACAAAAAAGGCCATAAAAATTTTGAATTTCACCAAAAAATTCAAGCAACACTGTTAACTAGTAGTTTTTTTGACAATCTAGATAAACAAATGAAGTTTGTAAGTTGCCACGGCACTCTCTGATTAATTAAAAAAAAATTTGACGTATCAAAAAATGTCTATATATCTTTGTCTTTGACAATCTAGTAGGCAACTAACTAAAATAAAATTAATTATATATTTAATTTTTGACAATTTGATAGGTAAATAACTAAAATATGTGTCTGAGTAAAAGCAAAAATTAAAAAAGTTGCATTTATCGGTTCAAAAATTAAAAATAAATAATTAAAACAGTAGAGCCACCCAAAAAATGTCTATAAATTTATGTCTAGTGGGCAAATAACTAAAGTATGTGTAGTAATTTGTCACGAAACTCTTGATAAATAAAAAAAAATGGCAAAAATGGTAGTTTTTTTTGACAATGTGTAGTAAATTGATTGAAAATTTTGGAAAAAAAAAATTCTTCACGGCACTCTCATTAATTCAAAAAAAATTGAGGTATCAAAAAATGTTTATATATTTTTGTCTTTGACAATCTAGTAGGCAACTAATTAGAATCAAATTAATTATATATTTTATTTGACAATCTGGTAGTTAAATAACTAAAATATGTGTCTTAGTAAAATCAAAAATTAAAAAAGTTGCATTTTTCGGTTAAAAAATTAAAAATAAATAACTAAAACAGTACAGCCACCCAAAAAATGTCTATAAATTTGTGTTATTAATAATCTAGTGGGCAAATAACTGAAGTATGTGTAGTAATTTGTCACGAAACTCTTGATAAATCAAAAAAAGTGCCAAAAATGGTAGTTTTTTTGACAATGTGTAGTAAATTGGTCGCGGCAGTTAAAAATTTTGGAAAAAATAATTTTTGGTTGGTATCGAATTCTTCACGGCACTCTGATTAATTAAAAAATAAAATAAATTTTTTTTTTGAGATATCAAAAAATGTCTATATATTTTGTCTTTGACAATCTAGTAGGCAACTAACTAGAAAAAAATTAACTATATATTTAATTTTTGACAATCTGGTAGTTAAATAATTAAAATATGTGTGTCTTAGTAAAAACAAAAAATTAAAAAAGTTGCATTTATCGGTTAAAAAATTAAAAATAAATAATTAAAACAGTAAGGCCACCCAAAAAATTTCTATAAACTTGTGTTACTAAGAATCTAGTGGCAAATAACTGAAGTATTGTAGTAATTTGTCACGAAACTCTTGATAAATCAAAAAAAGTGGCAAAAATGGTAAATTGGTCGCGGCACTTGAAAATTTTGAAAAAAATAATTTTTGGTCGCGGCACTCAAAAATTTTGAAAAATAATACAGTGCGATCAAAATCCGCACTTTGAGGGCACTGGTGAGGCACGTTATCACTGTGTAAGATAAGAGGGTACGTACCACGAATGGTTTCATCTTCTTAAACCACTAAACTATGATCAAATGATGAATACGATTTATCCCACATAGTTTAAATAGATAGCGCCCCCACTGCCACTGAAGATTCACACTGCACGCCGTCATAGGAGCTTTTACATTCACTTTATAAAGAAAAATTACTTTTACTATGTTTCAATAAGGTCTAATTTAGCGTTAAAAAGTCAAAAGTCCACGTGAATTATTTAATTCTTCACACTCGTCTTGCGTTCAATTAAAAGTGAAGAAGCGAGGATGTGTCCCTGATTTAATTACACTGTGATCTCAATTTTTTTCGGAAGGAGGAGGGCTATTAAGTCTTGCAAATCAATCGCTAATTATTTACATAATTTGACATTAAAATTCGGTACTATTATTGCGACAGATGGTCAAGCGAAAAGTATTACACGTTACAAAAAAACATGGCGGTTTTGGAGATCTTCCATATAAGATAAGCGGAAGGTTCGAAAAATTGTTATGTCATTGTGAGCGGGCTCCGAATATTTTATTATTTGTATGTACGAAGAAAAGATTTCAGCTAATGAGCATAGTTCACACATGTTGCTTCCGCAATGACCGGAAATGCATTGTATTTTTCAAAATTTTGGCCAATTTCTAGCTTGTGCAAGAATTTTCAGCAATTTAAAGTGCTAATAGAGCAATTTTCTTATCTAGGTAATAGTCAATAGTGTTTGTTGACCACGCATTAGTGAGGCAATATTTGTGATGAAATGTGTGCAAAGCTACTCCACTATAATAAATCTTTACAAAATTTAACGTGAGGTGGGCGCTAAACAAAACTGTGATTTATAAAAGAAAAAAAAACGGGCCGCATCGGGACGCGAACATCAAATTTTTGAGTTTCAGTGTGGCATAAATCAAGCACGATTTTTTTTAATAACGTAAATAATCAAATTAACATTTTTTTTATTAATTTTATTTAATTATCCAACTCAAAATTAAAAAAATCAAATTTCATATACATTTTCTGAAACATCCTCTTAATTAATTTTAAATTTAAAAAAACGTTTTCGCTTATTAATTAATAATTATAAAATTATTATTTTATTTGCCTTAAGTTTATTTTAAGTTTTTATAGATATTATTATTATTATTAGAGAAATTATATCAAGAATGCACAAAATATTATTTTACTAAACAAGTTTCTATTTTTCTACTTTTTTTGAACATCAAATTTTTGAGTTTCAGTGAGGCATAAATGAAACACGTCTAATTTTTAAAGAAAAAATAATGTAAATAACCAAATTAACATTGTTTTTATTAATTTRATTTAATTATTTAACTCAAAACTGAAAAAATCAAATTTCGACATTTTTTGAAACGCATCTTTCTAATTAATTTGAAATTAAAAAAAACTGTTTTCGCTTATTAATTAACAATAATAAAATCATTATTTTATTTGCCTTAAGTTTTAATTTTAGATATTATTATTATTAGAAAAATTATATCAGGAATGCACAAAATATTATTTTACTAAACAATTTTCTGTTTTTATAATTTTTTTGGAAAAAAATAATGTAAACAATAATAACAATAATAATTTACGGTTTCAGTCCCAAAATCAGATTTCATCCACATCCTCTGAAATTAATTTGGAAATTTGAAAAAATTATTAATATTTTTTAAAGAAAAACGTTTTCCCTTATTAATTGAATTATTACAAAATTATTATTTTATTTCCTTTAAGTTTATTTAAAGTTTTTATAGATATTATTACTATCAAATTATACATGAAATATTATTTTACTGAACAACTTTCTATTTTTTGTCCTGATAACAAACTTTGCTGATTTACATAATGCTGCTGCAACAAAGAAAATTTTCCATTTGAGGACATTTCCTCTAAAAGCTCAAACACCCTATATACTTCCTCCAAATTGGAGAAATTAGCAATCTTGTCGTGCGTACGCGTAAACATTAGCATAATTTTTTGCCCACATCTTCTCACTTTTCATAATTTATTTAAATGAGCAAACAGTTAAAAAATGTCAATAGAAATTGCTTCAGTCAACACTCATTCATTTCTGCGTACTTTTGTTGCATCTGTTGCACAAGATAGCCAAAAAATTGCCCAATTCGCCCCAAAACCCATAATCAATCAGAAAAAATAACGTTCAAATGTCAATTCGCATTGACCTTGTCTCAAAGTGTGTCAAATCGAATTTCGCACATTAACACCGAAGAAACTCGAAATCGGGATGAGAACACGACTTTGGAACAATAGTTGGTCTCGATTTCGCAAAATAAACGAGGAACAACGATGAGAATTTGAGGCAATTCAATTATTTATTGCGTGGATTTGGGATTTTTATCAAGTGGCTGTTGCAAAATTTCAATTTTGTCTTTGTAGGCGGATGAAATATTTGATTTCGTGAAAGTTTGACGAGATGACTGATCGTCAATAAAAATGGCTTATTACAAGGTTATAATAAAGCACAAATCGCGACTTTCTTATTCAGGATGTGGTGTGGCGAGAGCCGCTCTTGCATACAAATAAATTCCAATTTTGCAAAAGAATAAAGCGAGTTTTTGGGTGCATGCAGTCGTAAGTCATGTCTGATGAAAATTATTGCACTTTCTTAAATTGTCGAAAATAATTCATTGCAAGCTGGGCGAAATTTTTGCACCTGCATCAGGAGGTATTAATTGACACTTGTCGAACACGTGGGGCACACCTTTGAGGAATTTTCCTTTTCTCACTTGAAGATAATTGATTGAAGCCATTTTCACTTTAATTCTTTTATTAACGGGCTTTGTGTAAACTTGCAAATCACTATTTAAACAGTAAGGATAAAAAAGCAATACAACTTTTATTTTTCACAAGTGTCACCTTAATTTTAGTTAAATGTTTTTATTTTCAAGAAAAATTTCATTTTAAGATTTTGATGTAAAAATATTCTTTAAAAATAATGGAGCGTTTTTCATAATTCAGTCTGTATTTATTCAAAAATAAATTCAAAAATTATTTTATTTTGTTTTTGGAACGTTTTATATACTTTTTTGAGTCTCTTGGATCCTAAGGATCAATTTTAAAATTTTAATTTTTTTTTATTTTTGTCAAAATTTTGCTCGATGTTAGATACCTGGAGCTAATATTAACTAATAACTCTAAAACTACTATCAGTTTAGTACCGTTAAAAAGCTCTTTTAATTTGCTATCATATTAAAGTAAAAACATTAATCTGCAAAAAATCATTTTTTTGAAAATCGCTGGTAAAGAAAAAAATACTCAAAATTTATATAGTTGACTATAACTTCTAAACTATTAAAAATTTTGCAGTTTTTTTGACTCTTAGCGATTTCCCTGAGCATTTTACATACATAAATTTAACATTATCCATCATTTTTAATATTCGAGTCAAAATTTGCAAAATAAAAGAAGTGATAATTTTAAATTACTTATTATGTCGGTATATAATGACATTTTTAGCGTTTTTCATAGTCTTTTTTCTAAATATTGTTGAAAATAAATTAAATTTGAAATA